ACCAAGTGACTGAAAGCAGATTTTTACCAAGCCATTTTCAGCCACAAGTGAATCCCAGTCTGTGCCATAGATTAATGCATCAAACACTTTGTGAGCTTGTAGTTTTGGCGCTATGCATCATCTTTCCCTCTTGCTGGTATGCCGTTCTTGTAGTTTATCAATAGATTTGCCTAGACCTAGTTGGTACAACAAACCATGTAACCCATAGCCTGATCCCCTAGGCAATACGTGTGTCACCCCCTCCTTGGCGCACCTTGCCTAATCCTGCTAGCCCATTTAAAATTTTGAGCAAACACCGATCCCCCCTAGCTGGACACATGCCATGTCATCCCTGCTCACCATCCTCCACCTCCCCAGATATCGACTATATAGATGGTGTGTTGGGGTGTAAACGGGTTGGGTTGGTGCAGACCTGGCCCAAATGTTCAAAGGAGGGAACCGGATGTGGATTTGACCTGATTTGCCCAAAGGAGGACTTGGACATGGACCTGACCACAGGCAGAACCAAGAACCTGGACTCGACTCAGTTACTTCCAGGCTAAGGGAGATTTTTTGACAAGGGGGCCCCCTCTCACCCTTCCTGTTTGCTATTGTGGGTGAGGTGTTTCAATCTGTAATGAACCTCTTTGAGCACAGCTTGATTGTAGGTTTCAGGTCTTCAAGACAAGGCCTTGTCATTTCCTACTTGTTCTATGTGGATGACACCTTGGACTTCTGTAATTCTTTTCCCCAACAAGTGGATTACACTTTGGTTGTTTGTCTTTGTCTAAAGTGCCTTGAGTTTTCAATTGGTTTTATGGTGAATATGGCTGTGTTTAAGCTGTTTGGGGGTGGTCTCTTGCATGAAGAGGCTCCAATGCTAGCTAAAATCTTGGTTTGTGCCACAGGGACTCCTTATCAAGCAAGTGCTTTGGTGTTCCCCTCTGCATTGGAAAACCTCACTAGGCCCACTGGCATGTTGTTGTGGAGTGTTTGATAGGAGACTCGCAGCTTGGAAGTTTCTCTATATTTTTTTTAGGCAGCTATATCTTTTTTTGGGTAAATAATTTGGACTCTTACCCTTTGGTGAGAATGGAGTCCGAGACTTCATCATGGGGCTCGGCATTGCTACCCTTGAGGCAGCTATGTCACCCTTGTCAAAGCTTCTCTATCCAACACTCCTATCTTTCAGATGTCCCTTTCCCCGATGCCATTGTCCATTTGTTAATCGGTTGGAGCGATTGATAAGAGATTCTTGTGGCCTGGGGTAGAGGGCACGCACAAGTTCCAGTTGGTGAAGTTGGTCGTCTTTTGTAGTCCTAAGAGGTGTGGAAGTTTCAGGGTAAGGAAAGCAAAATGCAACTCAACACTCCTAAGGAAGTGGTGATGGCGCTTTGCAAACCAATAGGGCCACTTGCGGACCACCACATAGATCAGGGTGGTTTCCCCATGGTGTAGTGGAAGGATATAGCCTTGGTGCACCTGAGTTTCATTGACAACATAGTTTTTAGGATAAAACAGGAGAGTGTATCAGGCTCTAGAAATACCATAGGGTCGATGACTCCACCTTGGACTCTACTGAGGCTAAACTCAATTGCTGGTGCCTGGGACACCAAGCTGGAAAGGGACACCAAGCTGGTGCAATCCTTCTAAGTCGTGGGAGGGTAGGTGGTCTGGTTTGCCACCTTCAGGGTTAACCTATTGGACCTAGAAATAACTGGTATGCTTCTTTGCTATCCCTCCATGGATCTCACTATGCCTCAAGCTCTGGTAGAGATAGAATGTTTTGGGGGTCTCAAATGCTTCCGGCTCCTTCTCAATAGTCTCTTTCTACCAAGTTCTCGATCACAACCCAATCCAATTGACCATAGCTATCAAGGCCTGGTTGATCCTCCACTCCTGAAAATCCAGGTTTTTAATTGGCTGGTCCTCTTGAAAAAGTCCTTGTGGGAGACCAGCTAACAAGGAGGGGAATCCAGCTGCCCAATTGATGTAATATGTGCAAAGAGACAGAGGAGTCCATAGATAATCTATTATTATACTGCATCCGTAGATCAAATCTTGGCCTCTATTGTAAAGCGGTTTAGCTGGACTTGAGTGACCGTTAGTTGTTTTTTGTGTACTTCCTCCCCATTCCCTCTCTTGGACCTCTTCATTTGGCGGGCATCCCTGTTGATAACCCTTGGGTCATCTGGTTAAACGGAAATGGCAAATATTCAAAGGCAGCAACCCAATGACAGCTAGGGTAGAGGATCGACTTATATCTTTGGTGATATTTTGGGCTAGAAGTAGGAAGGAACTTAGGGCCTGGTCAGTGGGGGACTTTGTTCTCAACTGGAAAGCCATTATTACATCAAGGCGGATGATCAACTTGACATATCATTGGCTGCCGCCTTAAATTGCGGTAGTTAAACTAAACTTTGGTGGTTGTTTCTTCGGCAACCCTTGCCATCAGCTGAATGAGGGACTTTCTAGAGACAGCCCGTCTCAACTCTTGTAGTCACCCAATAGGGTTTGCCAACTCAATGATTGTTCAGGCCCAGTCCCTTTCAGAAAGGCTGAAACTCTATGACATAACTGGGGTCTCAATCTTGTTGTGGAAGGTGACTCACAAAATGTAATAACATGGGCCTCTAGAATATTCCGATGCTGATGGAGACTTGACCCATCTTTGACCAAAATTTTGATATTCTTGGGGCATTGCACCTTGTCCTCATGCATACTTGGAGAAAAGCTATTACTATTGCCGATGCACTTGCCTAAGAAGGTGCTCAGACACAAACTTGGTTGTGACAGACCTAACACCCCAGTCTCTATCTTTCCTCCTCTTTTTGCCGCTTTCATTGTCACAATTTTCACATTTTTGTAAAAGGAAAGCCTTCCACGTGACCACACCCACATATATAGTATATGTGACCCCTGATCTCAGCCGTCATATCTGAGTAGATGGCTGAGATGGTTTGAGTCACAATGTCACAAGCTGGATCTTGAGTGTTAGATCTTGATCCGACAGCTCATAATATTTTATTCTTAATTTTTATTCTATAAACCATTTTGCAGCGAAATTTGGGTCATGCATACATCTGATAGGGGCGCACATGATAAATTAGTAAAAAAATATTTCCTGTGATAAAAATTACCTAAATATGCCTGAAACTTTCAGGGGAATTTTGGTCATTTATTTTCATGAGAAATATTTTTTTCTGCTAGGTGTGTCCCAGGAAGGAGATGGGACATCTCAAATTTCAGCCAAAAAGATTTTGTAGAAAGAAAATAAAATCAAAGAGTGTGGTGTGACATTGTGACATGAATCTTGACCGTCAATTCAGATCGAACGGCGGAGAACTGGGGTCACATAGAACTTATATGTGGTTGGGGTCACACAAAGCTTTCCCTTTTGTAATGCGTGTTTCCACATGTAACATGTAATTCAACCTTTTAATATAGTAAAGCCAATTTTATCACAAAGAAATACAGGAAAGAGGGCCCCTCTTTTTCACTAAATAGATATATATCTCTTATGATTCCATCGTTTTATGCATATTTTGAACTTCAATGAGTTCTTGTAATTATAGATCATGTATTTGCCAACAATCATGTGCTGAACTAAATGGAAATTCTTCAAGCTCTATTTACTAGCAGCAAAGCACAACCATGTTATGTCAAAAAAACCACCAAATTATTACTTAATTATAAACATTGTTCTGCATACATATGAATTATCATATTTATATTTTCATTTACATGCATTTGTCTATATGCACATTCCTGGCCTTATCTTCTATGTTAGGGCTTTTATTGTTTATCTTACCTCTCATATTTTTTTCTTTTTTGCGACATTTGGTTTACAGTAATTTTAAGTTTGTATGTCGTGTTCAAAATATTTTGTTGCCAATTTGCTGCCTTGATTTATCATAGAAAAATAGCTTGGGTGCAGACAAATGCAATAAAATCTTCTCCGAGCTCAACTGTTCCATCAGTTTCAACATCCATCCACTCTTTGTTTACTACATGTATGGCCTTCTTATCCCCACCATCCCCCTTTCTCCTTGTTTAAGGCCTATCTACTTAAAACCCCACATGAATGCTGTGTTTCAACCTTCATTGGCAGCCTCAGACCTCCACTCAGTGGTCACATTCAGCTCAAGTTTCCAAAATCCGTATTATAAGTAGCCAAATTATTTTGAAAGCACTGCAATTTATTACCTTCTAAACAATATAAAGAATGGTAATTTTTTTGCTAAGGTAACAGAGAGAACGGTGATTAACTAGCACCGTGGTAACAAATGCATGAGTTTTAGTAGATCTAAACCCCATAGAAACATGAGTAAAACTTCAAAAGCATGAGAATGGGATGATGGAAAACATTTAAAGTTAAGAGTGTGGACATTTCATTTAATCGAAATTGCTCACAAAATGCACTATATGCTGCTTCTAAGATAGAACAACCAGCCAAAGATCCAACCAGTAGACCAATACTGGGGGCTTTACAATATGTATTCTCAGGAATTAAATCATAAGATTTATCATTATTGATAACTGCTGTCTCATCTGTTTTATGAGAATAAAATTGCATAATCTGCTTCCGCGTCCAAGCACTCAGAGTTCCATCTTAAGAAACATATAAATCTCTCAAGAAAAACATAAGCTTTTGAGCCAAAGACCCAGGAACATCAGCACTCTTACTGAAGCCATTCCCTCAACTGGATGATGCATGCATTTCTATTTGCGTTTCTATTTGTATGCATTTACCTACATGTTTCTGATGGCTCCTAATATTTTCCGGGCCTTCTTCTTCTATCGATCCTTCTTTTATTTAGTTATTGAACCTGTACTTCTCTGGTCCTTTTTTCATTTTCCTAACATTTGGTTTGCTGTAATTTTAAGTTTGTTAGCCATGTGTTCATTATATTCAGTTGCTAATTTGTTGATATCTTGTGATGTCTGCATGTACACATTTTTGGTTTTAGTTTCTCAGCATACTTCATATGCTGCTTTCTGATCTGGTTCCCACTCTCCAGGCATATACTTTATTGGAATCTCTGGATCCAGGGGCCTTTTCTAAATATGCTCCAAGGAGGCAATCTTTGTTTCTGAATTCAGTTCCAGTTACTCCAAATCATCACCGAGTGATGGAGTCTAAGAACCTCTTTACTGATGGACCCCACATAATGCCTGTGAGATTTATTATTTTGTTTGGATATTGGTTCAGTTCTCGTGTTTGGGTGGTCTTCCTCAGAGTTTGTGGTATTGTCATTGTGTAATGTGCTTGGTGATTTAAATGGTGGCAGGACAACCGCACAATGGCTTTGAAAAAACTAATCAGTGCTTCCAATCAACTGTTATTTATGGGTAACCTGGTTACCACTCGCGGAAATTTGGTTCTCGATTATTTTAAGGAGTCAAAGGCAAGCTGATTGTAACTCTTACTGTTTTTATTGTGAACATTGTTGATTCCTTTGCAAACTTTTTGTTTATAGTTTTTCTTGTGTGTACGCAGTTTGGCGGTAAGAAGCTTTGGAAAGCAGTGGCTAATGGTGGTTCGTCTAGTTCAAAATGGTTTAAAGATACTGTTCTTGGTAAAAGAACAAATTATGCATTTCGAATGACTGTTGTTGGTGATCCAAAAATTAAATTGGGTGAAATTGGGTTCCCACGTGATATTTCAGAAAATTTGATGATCCCACAGCATGTAAATTTGTTTAACTTGAAGATGTTGACCTCTTGTGCATATTCCATTCTCCAACAAAAGACTGTTTTTTATGTAAGACGAAAAGGTGATCTTGTGCCTGTTAAACATCCATATGATCTGGAGGTTGGTGATGTGATATATAGGAATTTAAGAGATGGGGATCTTTTGATGATTAATCGACCTCCATCAGTTCATCAGCACTCCTTGATTGCTTTCACTGTTAGGGTACTTAACATGAAATCTGTCATTTCAATTAATCCCCTCTGTTGCTCTCCTTTCTTTGGTGATTTCGATGGAGACTGTCTTCATGGATTTGTTCCTCAATCCATTGACAATAGAGTAGAACTACAAGAGCTTATGACTTTACATCACCAACTATTGAATGGGCAAGATGGTCTGCCACTGGTTTCACTGAGTCATGATAGTCTCACTGCTGCATATTTGGTCACAAGAAATGACGAGTTCCTTGATCAATTTCAAATGCAGCAGTTACAAATGTTTTGTCCATCTGAGTTACCTATTCCAGCAATTTGTAAATCACCTTTATCGCGTGGTCCTCTTTGGACTGGACATCAATTCTTTAGCATGTTTCTTCCTAAATCTCTTGATTATCAATATGTTTCCAATGGGGTTCTAATTTCTGAGGGTGAATTGCTTACCACTTCTGGAGAATCACGTTGGCTACAAAATTCAAACGAGGGCATTTTCTTTGCCATTGTAAAACATGTTCCTCTTAAAGCTCTCAGCTATCTACATTCTGCACAGGAAGCTCTCTGTGAGTGGATGATGATGAGAGGTTTTACTGTGTCTTTTTTGGATATCTCTCTCGCATCTAATTTGTATTCTCGAGAAAAAATGGTTGATGAGATTAGATGTGCGGTGCAAGAAGCCAAGCGCTTGGCTCGTGTCATGCAATTGACTACAGAATATCTTAAAAAGAGTAATCAGGTATGGATTATCCTGAAGATTATTATTCGAACAGGATCCCGACTGGTTTTAACGAGCAATCTGGACGTGCATTTAGGGATGTTTACTTTGATATTCTAAGGCTAATCCCTGAATATGGCAGTAAGAACAATTCGTTGTTGGCAATGACATCAGCTGGAAGCAAGGGGTCCATACAAAAACTTGTTGAGCAATCTATGTGCCTTGGCTTACAAATATCAAGGAACTCGTTATCTTTCGGCACACATGAGCTCAATCAGGGCCATGTTTCTTGTACAATAGTTGAGACCTCATTCTTAGATGGACTGAACCCATTCGAGTGTCTAGTGCATGCTTCATCTAGTCGGGGAAATTGTTTCAGTGACAGTGCTGATGTTCCCGGGACTTTGACTCGTAAGCTTATGTTTTTCTTGCGAGATTTATGTCTTGCATATGATGGAACTGTGAGAAGTGCTTATGGGAATCAAGTTATACAGTTCTCTTATGGTAACTCAGATGGAAAAGTGGATGTTAATTGTGATAAACCCCAAGACCTATCTCCTGAGAGTGCATGGTGTGATGCCCCTGTTGGTGGTCTACCTGTTGGGTCTTTGGCTGGTTGTGCTATCTCAGAAGCTGCATATAGTGCATTGGATCACCCTCTTGGACTATCAGGAACATCTCCACTCTTAGATCTAAAGGTTTTTTACTCTCCCAATCTCATGCGATGCAAGTTTTAATCTTTGTTTTTGTTGTTTAGATAAATTGGATCTTGCATTTATGAATGTAGCTGCTGGTTAATCACTATTCTCCATATCATCTTAAAATAATCAATATTCCCTGTATTGTTTATGTGAAATACATTGTGGTGGTTTGTAAATGATTAAATGATTTGTGATTATTTTATAACATTATTTTCGTTTTGATATCAATTTCACAAGTTTTAGTACGATAAAGATCTAATTAATCATTGGAACTATACAAGTTATCATATAAATTATGGTGTGAAATTGATAGTGATTTCATTAGTATCAGAAATAGTCAGATTTAATTTCTTGTTGGCATCATGTCTTAAAGTAACTTGTCAATAAATCATTGGGCTTTGCATGAACAATGGTGAAATCTGTTATCTGCAGTTGAAAACGAGTGGTTGGGAAGGCTACAGAGACAGGTTATAATGGTCTTCAATAGGTAAGTGGTTTGACCAGATGGATAATGGTTCAGTGAAAGGGCCAATGTTTTAGGGGCCACATCAATTCTATTGTAATGTGATTTTATCCAGCATGTTGATGCACTTCATGCCATTATTCTGGATTCCTATGGCAGTCAAAGAGATGTTGGAGAGGCCAGGACTTGTTCTGAATTGGATGCAAGAAGTCCTATCGATTGGGCAGTGCAAGGAGGTACTCAAATCTAGAGGGGCAGGGGGACCTGGGCATATACATTGTTTCAAGTATGTTTAAGGGGCTCTGTTGCGATAATGAAGTTGGTGACTTTTAGTATTGTGGAGTTTGCTTTCTAGGATCTTCAGCAGAAAAAATAGTGCTGGATGTATACATGGTAGTGTAAGGACATTGAAAAGTTTTCAGTTTATGGGGTTGTTTGAGGTTTAGCAGGCATTAGAGAGGATGCATTTGCTCTTCTAGAGGGTATTAGCTGGAGGCTGAGGAGGGAAGCAGATAGGTTTTAGGTGATACGGGGTGTGTGGGTTAAGCGCTTTCTGGGAACTTTCTGGGGCTATTTAATGTTGCATTGGATAAGGAGTGTTTTTCTAATGTATGTTTTAAGATTGACACCCCAGGGAGTGTTTTGGTTTTCCTTTTTTTTTCTTTTTTCTTTTTTCTCTTACTCTTTTTTGGGGCAGGGGGAAGTAGTATGCGGGTTTGTTAAGGGGGTTTTTAGAAGATGTCTTGTAGGTTCAGAAACTCGTTGAGATCTTTTGGTTGTTGGTTTGTAGGTTCATCTGCCATAACCGATGTTCCCTAGGTTTCCTAATGAAAATTCACCTCCTTGACTCTTCCTGCTCCCACTCTCATAGGCATATTGTTCACGTTGTACTAGTGTGCTATGCCTAATCAACTATGGAAGTTAACTATAATTAGAGAAATTTACTCATATGACTCAGTGCTTGGAATCATTGTCTGTGCGCTTCATTTTTTGGCTAATACATGCAATTAATATCAGGCAAAAGTCAGCTTCTTTATACCTTATAGTTTTGATGATTCATTGTTGTCTTTGGCTCGCTTGCATATGGACTTGTCGGCTGCAACAATGGTGATGCTGTAATGCTAAGAACCTTTCATATTTCTCTAGATGATCTTGAGATGCTTTGTGTGCCCATCCATGTGGGCAATGGTTAAAAAGAGAGACTTGCCAGTATGTCTTGTGGCCAGTCCCTGAAGGACCTGAAAATTCCCAGTAAATATAGAAAACTAATGTAATAGTTCTGAAAAGTGGAAAAATTGGGGGGGGGGGGGTGAGGGCGAAGAGGAAAAAATTGAGCTCAGTTAGATTTTATCAGAAGTGCTAGATCTAGCAAGCTTAGAACACCTTTAGGGGAAAACTAGATTTTCTTGGAAAAATCATAAATATCTAATGTTGTGATACTTTTCAGTTTATATTTAATTTTTTTCGCAAAAATGGCTGAATATGCACAAAGAATAGATGATCTACAAAGTCAGCCTTATATCTCTCAAAATCCAAAGGTATCTTGTCGAAAGAAGTATTCCAAACCAAAAAAATAAAAAAATACATACCTGATATCTGAGAGGCCCTCGCCCTTCTCGAAAGTCTGCGTGTTTTTGCAGTAAGATGGACCTCAATGTTATCCGATGGGCCTCTGCTGCTGCCACCTATCCCTGGGCCTTGGCCCTGATCTTTGAAGAAATTGCCCATCTTTGTTTAGGGATATCGATCTCATGGAGTCACATGTTGTGCGAGAGTAACTCTCAAGTGGACACCTTAGCCAAAGAAGATGCTGATTATGCCCCTTCAGCGGCAGAACAGTAGTGCATATTACTGGAATTGCTGGCCCTTCCTTAAGAGTCTTAGTTCTTTCAGAGTTTTCCCTGGGTTCCCTTCGAGGTTACTTTTTTTAGTTATTTTTGCTCTTTGCCTTGCTTTAGGGGGGCTGGTCCTTGTATCTCTATATTTACATTAATAAAACATTAACAGTTTAAAAAAAAAGATACTTGGGATCACAAAAGGTGCTTGATCTTGAAACTTCTTTCTTTAATTGCACATAAGCCTAAAATACTCCTCAAATTCTCATCCTAAACTTTTGAGATGATCAGATTCAGGACTCGCGAAATTTGGGAATACAATCTTGTTTTCCGGAATGAAATCCTAACCCAAAAATTCTTTTTCTTTCTAGAATGAAATCCTAACCCAAAAATCTCAAAATCTATAGAAGTTTTTTATTGCTTAAGGCTTCCTAAACCACTGTAACAGGAAATAGGTGAAAGTAGACCAAAAGATCCACCTGCACCCCAAGTTAACAGTTTCAGGAAGAAAAAAAATCCACCCATAACAAGAAAGACAATGCCTAAAATAGGAACTTTATCTTTCGGGTTCAGGACAACATGTTTTACTAAAAAAAAATGGTGCAGAGGGGCAGGGTGCTTCTTAGAGACTCTTGTCTGAGTCTTTACAATGGAACTGCTGAGTCTCCTAAAGACTCACCCGATTCTTTCAGAAAGTTTATTATTTTTCCTCTTTTCTGAGTTTTACACAAGTAATAATTGGATATGCCCAATCCTACTGGACTTGTGCAAGTCTTGGTTGAGTCGGCGAGCTTGAAAACATTGCGGGCTTTGATTTTTTGGGGTTAACAATGTCATGGTTTTTACTGTATTCATTTCCAATAATTTCATGTTTATGACTAATTACTTATGTGAGTTTTACTATTCTTCCCAAACTTACTAGGTTTTATTTGTTAATTTCTTTTGCAAATCTGCCTCCTTGCTAGTCGCTTACCATCCTAAGGAATGGGCAAATAATTGTGTGCTTTGAAAGCCCATTGAAAGTAGCTTGCCGTCTCCCAAGCCCCTCGGATACTGTTCTGAATTTTTCTGTTATGTTGCACTGCAGCATTGTTCCGTAATGGAACTGTAAAAGCTGGGTATGGTGGATATGAATTGAGAGAGAGAGAGAGAGAGAGAGAGAGAGAGAGAGAGAGAGAGAGAGAGAGAGAGAGAGAGAGAGAGAGAGAGAGAGAG